ACAAGAAGTGCAACACAAAAGTTAAGTGGGAGGTGCTGGAATATTGGCTTAAAGCCACCACCTCTCTCAGTACACTCTAGAGTCTAGCTGGGAGGAGTGCTGGCTACGAAAGCACGGAACATTCTGAGGACTGATGTTGGGGCGACCCCAGACATCAGGTAGTATTGGGGGCGAGTGCAGGTGCAGCCAGACCGGCGACCAATCAGCGGAGCCGTAGCGATCAACGGGTAGTTTGGTGGTTGGAGTTCGAACAGGTGGCTGGTTGCATACGTTTCTGCTCACCCTGGCAAGCCTTGCTGGTGTTTGTTGTCGTTGTTGGACATTTCTTCCATAGTCTTTTATATAGTTGTGAAGACGTAATTTTGGAGGGAAGAGCAGGCTCAATCTCTTGAAGGAGATTATCGTCACAAACATGGTTTTATAAATGGCCGTTCATGTTTAACAAATTTGTTATCTTTTTATTCTAGCATTGTTGAGGCAGTTGATAGTGGTAAGGATTGCGATGTTGTATACCTTGACTTTAGCAAAGCTTTTGATACAGTGCCACATGAAAGACTGATTAAAAAAATAGAGTCTCATGGTATTGGGGGTGCTATATTAAGCTGGATTAGGGCATGGCTATACCAAAGGAAACAGAGAGTTAGTATAAATGGAATCAAGTCAGAGTGGGAAAATGTTGTAAGTGGAGTGCCTCAAGGCTCTGTCCTGGGACCTCTGTTGTTTATAATATATATAAATGATTTAGATTCAGGTTTGAGTAGCAACATTTGCAAATTTGCCGATGATACGAAAATCGGTAGGGAAATTAATTCGGAGGAGGACTCACTATCACTTCAAGTTGATCTAGATAGGGTTTTGAAATGGTCAAAGGATTGGCAGATGCAGTTTAATGCTGATAAATGTAAAGTTCTGAGGTTAGGTAATGATGATAGAGTTACAAGATACGAGCTAGATGGTGTTGTGATTGCGAAGTCGGATTGCGAAAGGGATCTGGGAGTTATGATTAGTAAGAATTTAAAACAAAAGGATCAATGCATAAATGTTCGTAATAAGGCAAATCGGACACTTGGATTTATTAATCGCAGCGTTAGTAACAAGACACCTGGTGTGGTTCTCAAGCTATATCTTGCTCTAGTTAGGCCCCATTTAGATTATGCAGTTCAGTTTTGGTCGCCATATTATAGAATGGATATAAATTCACTTGAACGTGTCCAGCGTAGGATGACTAAGTTAATTCCCCAAATTAGAAATCTTTCATATGAAGAAAGATTAACAAAGCTTAAGTTGCATTCACTGGAAAGGCGAAGAGTTAGGGGTGACATGATAGAGGTTTACAAGTGGATGAATGGACATAACCGGGGGGATATTAATAGGGTATTAAAAGTATCAACACAGGACAGAACACGAAACAATGGATATAAATTGGATAAGTTTAGATTTAGGAAAGACTTGGGTAAATACTGGTTCAGTAACAGGGTTGTTGATTTGTGGAACCAATTGCCGCGTAACATTGTGGAGGTGGGGTCCCTCGATTGTTTCAAGCACGGGTTGGACAAGTATATGAGTGGGATTGGGTGGTTATAGAATAGGAGCTGCCTCGTATGGGCCAATAGGCCTTCTGCAGTTACCTTTGTTCTTATGTTCTTATGTTCTTATGATATTAATAGGGTATTAAAAGTATCAACACAAGACAGAACACGAAACAATGGATATTGAATAGAAGTGTTTGTAGAAAGCCTATTGGTCCATATTTCTTGATGCTTCTATATTGGAGCGGAGTCTTGAGGTGGGTAGAATATAGTTGTGCAATAATTGGCTGTTGATTGCTGGTGTTGACTTCTTGATGTGTAGTGCCTCGCAAACGTCAAGCCGCCTGCTATCGCTGTATCTATCGATGATTTCTGTGTTGTTTACTAGGATTTCTCTGGCGATGGTTTGGTTATGGGAAGAGATTATATGTTCCTTAATGGAGCCCTGTTGTTTATGCATCGTTAAACGCCTAGAAAGAGATGTTGTTGTCTTGCCTATATACTGGGTTTTTTGGAGCTTACAGTCCCTTCTATGCCTTCAAATGCCCACTTGGGGACTGTAAGCTCCAAAAAACCCAGTATATAGGCAAGGCAACAACATCTCTTTCTAGGCGTTTAACGATGCATAAACAACAGGGCTCCATTAAGGAACATATAATCTCTTCCCATAACCAAACCATCGCCAGAGAAATCCTAGTAAACAACACAGAAATCATCGATAGATACAGCGATAGCAGGCGGCTTGACGTTTGCGAGGCACTACACATCAAGAAGTCAACACCAGCAATCAACAGCCAATTATTGCACAACTATATTCTACCCACCTCAAGACTCCGCTCCAATATAGAAGCATCAAGAAATATGGACCAATAGGCTTTCTACAAACACTTCTATTCAATATCCATTGTTTCGTGTTCTGTCTTGTGTTGATACTTTTAATACCCTATTAATATCCTCTAATGCCACATCATCCTTCCCACCTCACTCAAATGTAATGCCACATCACCCTTCCCACCTCACTCAAAAGTAGATATAAAATCAGGGAAATGCAAGTTCTAATCAGTTGTGTATTTGTGAAGTCTTTGAAAATGTAATAAGTTTTACGAAACGCGCCCGTGTCGCGTCAGACTAAAAATAAAAATGAATTTTGGAGAAGTGATTTTTGATTTACCTCCAACAGTGAAGCATAATGTACGAAAGATTGAGAAAATTCGTGTTAGAATTATTAATCTTACTTTTTCGGTCATATTTAATAAAGTATATATATATATATATATATATATATATATATATATATATATATATATATATATATATATATATATATATATATATATCATCTCGGTACAATAGTGTCAGATGGTCCCAGTAATTAAAATGCTGCACATAAAATGTAACCTCCACGCCTCTTCCTCAAACTATGCATCTTGCCCAAGCTGCGACCGACCCAAAAGATGTCTTCGTAAATTTGAACGTACATTTATAAAGTATATGAACGCATGAGCATGTAGAGACGAGAGGAGAATTTAAGCACTTTGCTTGACAAAATGAGAAGAATAACCCTAACAGGCAGCTTGTGTCACACTTCCGGCGAACTAGCAAGTCAAAAGTTCATACGGGCGCACTCGGCCGCAACGGAAATACTTATGACGTCATGAGGACGATAACGAGACCATTATTCGTGCCGCAGGATGCGGAGGGTGGAGGAACCCGGTCACCACCGCCCTCCATCAACCTGGGAGTTAGAAAGGCTGCTTATGAGCCAGAGCTCAACCCTCGCAAGCACAATTAGGGGAATACAACTAGGTGAATACATAGAGTGAAGGTCCATATGATCAGTAGTCTGCATTGACAAACTCTGGATGCATTATGAGGATATCATCAAGGGCACAAGTTATTTTTTTATTAATACATTTAGGTACATGTGCATTTGTGCAGCTACCCTAGACTATATGAAGGGGAGTACAGTGTGTAGTACTCCCTTCAGCGCAGGCGGGAGAGGTACATAATAATTTACACGTGGAAAATATTAGAGGGGCTGGTCCCAAACCTGCACACAGAAATAACATCACATGAGACCAGAAGACATGGCAGGATGTGCAGAATACCCCCGTTGAAAAACAGAGGTGCAACTGGTACTCTGAGAGAGAATTCTATCAACATCAGAGGTCCGAGACTGTTCAACACGCTTCCACTACACATAAGGGGCATAACTGGCCGACCCCTCACAGTGTTCAAGAGAGAACTGGATAAGCACCTCCAAAGGATACCTGATCAACCAGGCTGTGACTCGTACGTCAGGCTGTGAGCAGCCGCGTCCAACAGCCTGGTTGATCAGTCCGACAACCAGGAGGTCTGGTCGACGACCGGGCCGCGGGGAAGCTAAGCCCTGGAAGCACCTCAAGGTAACCTCAAGGTGTCAAAAAGCTAGCTATGTGGTGCTAAAATCCCCATCACACAGGATGGTTAGTCATACAGAGGTATGCGATAGGCAGTCTGCACTGGCAGACTCTGGGTGCATTATGAGGATATCATCAACACAAGAGTGAATAAGGTAGCAGTGGTAATAAAAGTCCCCATCTCGCAGGATGGTTAGTCATACAGGGCCATATGTTCAGTAGCCTGCACTGGCAAATTTTGGGTACACTATGAGGATATCTTCGAGAACACGAGAGTGAATAAAGTAATTGCAAAGCTCCAGGTACCTCATGCCAACTGGTCTGAAAGGTCTAATAACTGGGCATTCAGTGATGTAGTGCGGGAGATCGTGCCGTAGTTCCTGCTCACAGAGTTTGCAACTGGAGTGCTCAGGATTGGGAGATCCGTCACCTGCAGCCACCTGCCACAGGTAACGGTAACCCAACCTGATCCTGGCAACCACTGTGTCGCACAGTCTAGTGGACGTTTTGTGCTGTCCATAGATGTAGGCTTCAGATCTGAACAAATCATAGCTTTTTATACTAGTACTTTCAGGTCGTTGGGAGTCAGTAAGCTCTTTCCTATCAGATCTGAATGTTTGGACCAATACAGTTTTGACAGCAGAGATGGGGATACCTAGATCTTATTCAACTTCAAACTTGTTACACGCTAATTTATCGTCAACACAAGAGTGAATCTGAGAAAGTCTAGGGAAGGTGCGTGCCAGCGTCCAACTACTTCCCCTGGCCGCCCTCACATAACACCAACATACACACGCTACCTCACCTTCTCTTGTCTTCCCATCTACCACAATTCTTACCACCTCTCCTGCACCCCTCTAACACATTACCTCACCCACTCACCCCTCCCTCTCTCACATTACCTCACCCACCCTTCCCTCTCCCACATTACATCATCCATCCATCCCTTCCTTTCCCACATCTCCTCACCCACTCATCTGCATTTACTCTCATTTTCAAAATGCCTTACCTTATGCTTTTGTACTTAGACGTTAGCTGTGTAGTCCTTAATCCCTTCTTAATTCCCTCATAGGCAACCGTCTCCGGGTCTCCTAACTCAGATTTACCATGCACAGTTGTGGCAGGAAGTTGCCATGCCAGACACCAAGTGTGGCACCGTCAACCCTCCCTCGCTGCCGGCGCCACGTCCTCCCGGGAGTCATGTGGAAAAATCATGCACCCAATACAAAGTTCATTTGACTTGGACCGGATTATTACAATCATGATATGACAAGTCCGTAATAAGAATTGTCTCAGCCGACACTTGAGCCGTTATACACTACACTCCTGCCTGCCGCGCCCCTGCCACCCGCGCCCCTGCCTGCCGCGCCCCTGCCTGCCGCGCCCCTTGCCTGCCGCGCCCCTGCCTGCCGCGCCCCTGCCGGCCGCGCCCCTGCCGCCCGCGCCCCTGCCTGCCGCCCGCGCCCCTGCCTGCCGCCCGCGCCCCTGCCTGCCGCCCGCGCCCCTGCCTGCCGCGCCCCTGCCTGCCGCCCGCGCCCCTGCCTGCCGCCCGCGCCCCTGCCTGCCGCCCGCGCCCCTGCCTGCCGCCCGCGCCCCTGCCTCCGTAAAGAGTTTATCCAGGGCATAAATGGCATGTTTCCGTATAATACCAGTAAGGTGAGTGACTGACCTGGCGCGAGTTAAGAGCGCTAGTGTCCCTCGTGACCTGAGACCCTCCACAAAGGTTACTGGTGTGGAGGGTGGGTGTGGCTGAGGGCTTGGGTGTAGTAGTGGTTGGGTGGATGATATACTGTCGTGTGCAGGCATACATTATGTGCGTGTCTGTGTGCGTGCATGTGTGTGTGCTTGCGTGACCAAGACTGTAAACAGGGGCCACCAGGCTTCACCTGGGTAGACACTCGGTGACTATACAGTAGTGAACATATACTGTAATACGGGGATGTGCTTCTAGAAATTAACAGTACTATAAATCACATAATATTGCTAGCCGAAAATTAAGCATTAAATTCTTTATGGTAATAGAGAGTCAACAGGACAATACTATTATAAGATCAAGTAACTGGCAAGTCATCTCATCCACCTAGCGACCTGGGACAGGACACATCCCACGGGGACTACCTACCAGGGGGGACTACCTACCAGGGGGACTACCTACCAGGGGGACTACCTACCAGGGGGACTACCTACCAGGGGGACTACCTACCAGGGGACTACCTACCAGGGGGACTACCTACCAGGGGGACTACCTACCAGGGGGACTACCTACCAGGGGACTACCTACCAGGGGGACTACCTACCAGGGGGACTAACTACCAGGGGGACTACCTACCAGGGGACTACCTACCAGGGGGACTACCTACCATGGGGACCACCTACCATGGGGACTACCTACCATGGGACTACCTACCAGGGGGACTACCTACCATGGGGGACCACCTACCATGGGGACTACCTACCATGGGACTACCTACCAGGGGAAAAACCTACCAGCGGAACTACCTACCTTCCTGTACCATATGATAAGTATTTGTACAAAAGGTTTCAACATATAAATATATCCATTATTACAAATAGTTAAATAGCAAAGACAACGAGGAATACAGACGGGAAATCACAAATGTGGGAACGGACATCCTCCCCGCCAAACTCACACCACAACTACGACGTTGGTACAACGTTCGAACAAGTTTTAATACCTCCTAACCAGTTATAACAACCAATATAGCAAGTTGTAACAACGTTCTAATACGTCATAAACACGTTAAGCCAAGATGTAACAACTTTATTACAAGTTGTAACAAGCGGAAAATAGAGACAGTTTCGGTGTGTGTTTCCAGGGGATCTGCACCACAAACCCAACATGGAGGTGTGTGGCAGCTGCTTTAAATCACTTCGCAAGTGTTGTAGGGATTGTATGTAACATTTGTAACACAAGATTTCACACGAGTTGTGCAGAATTACTATGTACACATGGTGTACATAGTTGTACATTATGCAAACAACCAAGGTACCTACTGGATCTGTCACAATAACAGACGGATTTGGGAAAACATCACCAAACTAATGAATGACATTCCTGAAGCACATAGGTTACCATTCACACAAAAGCTACCAGAAATATGCAGATTGTGTAAAAACAACAACCAACACTGAACACAACCCAGCGACTGAGAGTTTAGAGCCAAATTATCAACGAACACTAGTGTTGAGGTACACAAAAACGAGGGCAATACTGAAGAGCCAACCGGTACTATGAATAATAGAGCAAAAGTGAGAAAGATGAGATAAAAAATGAGAAAGAATGCAGAAACGAAAAAGTTAGGGCAAATAACATAGATTAGGAGACTATTAGGACAAATTAGGAGATTATCCCAAAACAGAGGAAGCCAAGACACGCACAAGTGTAAACAAGCAGAACAAAATCACAAATAAACTTATTTGCAAATATTATGCAAAAGGAATGTGGAGATACGGGTCCAAAGGCATCCATTTAGGGGATGCATGAAGGCATCCCCGAAAACGCCGGAACATATTAGGGAAGGATAAATATCCTTTTGGAACAAAGTGCAGATATTTCCACCCTAAACTATGCAAACTCTCAATTAATGAGAGAAAATGCTATGATCTTCAATGATTCGATCTTGATTTCTACGTGAAAGGTACACAGCGCTATCGAAGAGAGGAGGTCAAAAATAATAACCCCTGGAAGTTTTTAAAGGCAGGCAGGAACGGAGAGAAGAACAGGCAGACAGAAAAATTGCAGGAGTTACGGATGGGAGAGAGACATGGCCAAGACTGGACTACAATTCGTCATCAGGCGCACACATACTACACCCCCCCAACTCCACAGAAACTACCACACTCCCCAGCACCAGTACCACTACCAAAACTGGACGAACAATACACCCTGGGTACAAAACTCCACCCTGACCCAGGGTGTACAAAACAGTACACCCTGGGTCAGGGTGGAGAGAGGGGGGGAGGGGGAACTACCAAAGCCCTCCAGAAATGACACGCACACACACATGCACGCACACAGACACGCACATCATGTATGCCTGCACACGACAGTATTTCATCCACCCAACCACTACTACACCCACGCCCTCAGCCACACCCACCCTCCACACCCACCCTCCACACCAGTAACCTTTGTGGAGGGTCTCAGGTCACGAGGGACACTAGCGCTTTAAACTCGCGCCGGGTCACGTCACTCACCTTACTGGTATTATACGGAAACATGCCATTTATGCCCTGGATAAACTCTTTACGGAGGCAGGGGTGCGGCAGGCAGGGGTGCGGCAGGCAGGGGTGCGGGCGGCAGGCAGGGGTGCGGGCGGCAGGCAGGGGTGCGGGCGGCAGGCAGGGGCGCGGGCGGCAGGCAGGGGCGCGGGCGGCAGGCAGGGGCGCGGGCGGCAGGCAGGGGCGCGGGCGGCAGGCAGGGGTGCGGGCGGCAGGCAGGGGCGCGGGCGGCAGGCAGGGGCGCGGGCGGCAGGCAGGGGCGCGGGCGGCAGGCAGGGGCGCGGGCGGCAGGCAGGGGCGCGGCCGGCAGGCAGGGGTGCGGGCGGCAGGCAGGGGCGCGGCCGGCAGGCGGGGGTGCGGGCGGCAGGCGGGGGCGCGGGCGGCAGGCGGGGGCGCGGGCGGCAGGCGGGGGCGCGGGCGGCAGGCGGGGGCGGCAGGCGGGGGCGGGGGCGGCAGGCGGGGGCGCGGGCGGCAGGCGGGGGCGCGGGCGGCAGGCGGGGGCGCGGGCGGCAGGCGGGGGCGCGGGCGGCAGGCGGGGGCGCGGGCGGCAGGCGGGGGTGCGGGCGGCAGGCGGCGGTGCGGGCGGCAGGCGGGGGTGCGGGCGGCAGGCGGGGGTGCGGGCGGCAGGCGGGGGTGCGGGCGGGGGCGCGGGCGGCAGGCGGGGGCGCGGGCGGCAGGCGGGGGCGGCAGGCAGGGGCGCGGGCGGCAGGCAGGGGCGCGGGCGGCAGGGGCGCGGGCGGCAGGCAGGGGTGCGGGCGGCAGGCAGGGGTGCGGGCGGCAGGCAGGGGTGCGGGCGGCAGGCAGGGGTGCGGGCGGCAGGCAGGGGTGCGGGCGGCAGGCAGGGGTGCGGGCGGCAGGCAGGGGTGCGGGCGGCAGGCAGGGGTGCGGGCGGCAGGCAGGGGCGCGGGCGGCAGGCAGGGGCGCGGGCGGCAGGCAGGGGCGCGGGCGGCAGGCAGGGGCGCGGGCGGCAGGCAGGGGCGCGGGCGGCAGGCAGGGGCGCGGGCGGCAGGCAGGGGCGCGGCAGGCAGGCAGGGGCGCGGGCGGCAGGCAGGGGCGCGGCCGGCAGGGGCGCGGCCGGCAGGGGCGCGGCAGGCAGGGGCGCGGCAGGCAGGCAGGGGCGCGGCAGGCAGGCAGGGGCGCGGCAGGCAGGCAGGGGCGCGGGCGGCAGGGGCGCGGCAGGCAGGGGCGCGGCAGGCAGGAGTGTAGTGTATAACGGCTCAAGTGTCGGCTGAGACAATTCTTATTACGGACTTGTCATATCATGATTGTAATAATCCGGTCCAAGTCAAATGAACTTTGTATTGGGTGCATGATTTTTCCACATGACTCCCGGGAGGACGTGGCGCCGGCAGCGAGGGAGGGTTGACGGTGCCACACTTGGTGTCTGGCATGGCAACTTCCTGCCACAACTGTGCATGGTAAATCTGAGTTAGGAGACCCGGAGACGGTTGCCTATGAGGGAATTAAGAAGGGATTAAGGACTACACAGCTAACGTCTAAGTACAAAAGCATAAAGTAAGGCATTTTGAAAATGAGAGTAAATGCAGATTGAGTGGGTGAGGAGATGTGGGAAAGGAAGGGATGGATGGATGATGTAATGTGGGAGAGGGAAGGGTGGGTGAGGTAATGTGAGAGAGGGAGGGGTGAGTGGGTGAGGTAATGTGTTAGAGGGGTGCAGGAGTGGTGGTTGGGCCTGCGGCCCGCGTCCAAGCAACAGCCTGTTGGACCAAGTTATCACAAGTCAAGCCTGGCCTCAGGCCTGGCTCGGGAGTACAAGAACTCCCAGAACCCTCTCTAGGTATGCTCCAGGTATCCAGGTATATCGCTCACACGCCTCCTGTAAGAACATGTTTAGCTTCCTCCTCCTTAACACAAGTTAAGGAGGAGGAAGCCTCCTTTCCTCCTTTCTCCTCCTTACCTTCTCCTCCTCCTCCTTATTACCTCCTTTCTTCCGATAATATTTACAACATTACTACTTGAGGGTAAATAGAGACGTTGGCCTCTGACGATGACACAGTGTTCTCTAAGCTGTACTTCTTGCTTTACTCTACACTTACAGTGAATCTCAAGACTTCTCAGGATTGTGTTCTGCCTCCGGTTGATTCTACAGTTTCCTTCTTTAAAGAAAATTTGCCAGTCTTGAGATTGGGAAGTCATTCATATGTGAGTGTTCATTCATACGGTTTTTTGTTATCACTTTTCAAAAGTTTTCAGTTTGAAGTGTCGCAAATTGTAAACATTGAGCAAGATGACGTTTGGAGCACGATTATTGAGCCCTTCCTGAGTGTTCGATTTTCATCAGCTCCTCTTTATTTGAATGGAACTTTCAATTTATTTATGTACAAGAACAAGAACTCAATTTTGGTTTTCAGTTGTAAGAGGCTGACCAGGCACCTTGGGCTATAGGTGTTTCCAACATCCTTCCTCTGGCATGAAAGGCAAATGCTCTACGGACTGTACTATGAGTTAAGTGGGTGTGAGAGGTCCTGGCGTCTGATGAAGACTCCCCGGTACCAGTGGGAGAGTCGTGGTCACCACTCTACTGTTGCAACATACACCTGTGTACAATGTCCGTGCTAACATCGTTACCTTTATTGACTGATGGTCATTATGCACGCTGCCATTGTTGCCCAGGTTTTGTGTGTTCATTACTCAAATTAACCTTCAACATTTGCCTGGTGATGACGGACTGACACGAGTGTGGTCGCGTGCTAGAAGGGAAGGTGCTGGTGGTGGTGTTGGTGTGGTGGTCACCATCACCTGCCGGACCAACCGGGCAGTGGTGGGTATGTGGGCCTGCGGGCCGCTCCAAGCAACAGCCTGGTGGACCAAACTCTCACAAGTCAAGTCTGGCGTCGGGCCCGACTCTGGGAGTAGAACTCCCAAAACCCCATCAACCAGGTACCTGTGAGTTAGACAGCTGCTACGGGCTGCTTCCTGGGGATGTGTGTGTTTGTAAGATAAATATATGTAGCAGACATAATAGCGGAAAAATAAATTGGTTAGAAAGGCGGGGTCCAAGAGCTAATAGCTCGATTCTACAGATACAAATAGTAAATACAAGAAAATAAATAGAGAGGCAGCGACCATTAAGGACGGAGTGGGGTACTGGACGTGGTGGTCGGGCCACAGAACCCGCCGGCTGCAGGTCAAGGATCACCACATTCAAGTGCCACTTCACCTCAAGTAGAGCCTTGGCCACCTAGAAATGCACATATTAATACATAACTGTTAATACCTCTTGGGTTTCTTGGAGGTAAGACAACACACGTCTACACAAGAGCTTGAGACAAGACCAGTGATGTAGAGGGAGAAGGTGGCACTCGGTGCCACGTCTTCAAGGCATCTCAACGATGCCATACAGTCATAGTAACAGTTTAAACCTGTTGTATGATGTTGTATGTTGCTCTGTGTATGATCCTATGTCTGTGTGACAGTGGATACCAGCATCATCCTCACTTTAATTATTATAACTTAATTGAATTACTTGCATTAAGGATAATTGCCTGCTTAAGCTACTGCCTGTCTGCATGCTTGCATGCTTGCTTGTCTGTGTCTGCCTGCCTGCCTGCCTGTCTGCATGCCTGCCTGCTTGCCTGCCTGCCTGCCTGCCTGCCTGCCTGCCTGCCTGCCTGCTGGATGCCTGCCTGCCTGCCTGCCTGCCTGCTGGATGCCTGCCTGCCTGCCTGCCTGCCTACTGGATGCCTGCCTGCCTGCCTGCCTGCCTGCCTGCCTGCCTGCCTGCCTGCCTGCTGGATGCCTGCCTGCCTGCTGGATGCCTGCCTGCTGGATGCCTGCCTGCTTGCCTGCCTGCCTGCCTGCCTGCCTGCCTGCCTGCTGGATGCCTGCCTGCCTGCTGGATGCCTGCCTGCTTGCCTGCCTGCCTGCTGGATGCCTGCCTGCCTACCTTCCTGCTGGCTGCCTGTCTGGCGCGACTCGCGGTAAGTTAATGAACTTATGGTTTAAAAATTTCTACCAGGATTTCGATTAACGAAGCCGCTTCACATGATAATTACACTAACACAGACTGGCCACGGGACCCCCTTTAACTTGGTGTACCCACTCTCCCCCTTCTTACATGTCTCTGTCCACTCCCTTACACCCCTCTAGTTCCCAGTTCTCTCTCTCTCTCTCCTTCTGAACTCCAAACCCCACCAACCTTCCCGCTCGTGGCTCAACCCTCCATCTCCTCCTCCATGATGTAAGCGTCCAGTAATGAGACGATCTAGAAAAAGTTAGAAAATATAAGGAGTATTAGCCACTCCCTCACCCATAGTACCCCCCACCCCCCCGTCCGTCCGTCACAACAGCTGCAACATTGCGTCACCCGCGAAGCCCACCCTCATAATATTGGTAACCTTAATAACTTAACCTTATGACTGGACACCAGTGAGGGGAGACTGGAGGACGGCAGGCGTGGTGCAGCAGGGGACGTGGTGGGCGGCGGGCGTGGTGGTATATAACAATGCAGACAATACATGACAATAAAGTGCAGCCTGTCACTAGTGTAGCATGAGGGCACAAGAGGGCGGCGGGCACCAACACGCCCTCCAGGGCACAAGAGGGCCGCGGGCACCACCACGCCCTCCTCAACACTACACGTGAGGGACATAACTAACTCACCTCTCACGCACTTCAAAAGAATATCTGATAAACACCTCCAAAGGATATCTGATCAACCAGGCTGTGATTCAAACATCAGGCTGCGAGCTGCTGCGTTCAAGAGCCTGGATGATCAGACCACCATCCAGAAGGCCCAGTCAGAGACCGGGCCACATGGACGTTGATCCTGGGGAACCAAGGCAAGTTAACCCACGGTAACCCCTTACAAGAAAAAGCAGTCTCTTTAGAGATATCCTTGCCGGGACACTCACGCCTCTTTAACAACAGCGAGCGCAGCTGGCCTCCACTAACAACAATGGCGACCAATATTATTGGCAATTAAAACAGATTAATAAGAATCTTTTGACACCCCCCCCCCGAGGTACGAGAAACCTTGACATTGGAGACGGAGGTTATCTTGAGATGATTTCGGGGCTTAGTGTCCTCGCGGCCCGGTCCTCGACCAGGCCTCCACCCCCAGGAAGCAGCCCGTGACAGCTGACTAACACCCAGGTACCTATTTTACTGCTAGGTAACAGGGACATAGGGTGAAAGAAACTCTGCCCATTATTTCTCGCCGGCGCCTGGGATCGAACCCAGGACCACAGGATCACAAGTCCAGCGTGCTGTCCGCTCGGCCGACCGGCTCCATAGTTCAGCACAGACACCGTCTAGACCAGTGCATTTATATATACATTTAAAGCTGTGTTTGCAGTTTGCCTCTGCCACTTTATTTCCTTATTACATTCCATTTGTTCACCATTCTGCCATATAAAATATATTTTCTTATGTCTCAGAGGCTAATTTGGATATACAGTTTTCAAACTGCTTCTCTGCTTCCCGTCCCATTCTGAGATATTCATTCCTGGCCCTCCGCTACCCCCCTGTAGATTTCTATGCCATAATTTGTACAAACGTTTTTTTTGTCTACCACAGACGTGGCCACACATTTACAATGCTAACCAGCATATATACATGTTCTTCTGTCCTCCATGGACAGGGTGAGAGGTTTGTTAAACATATAGTACAAGGATTTATTGAACAATCAACCACAGAAGGTGATTGTATAGTACTTTAAAAATGCTAAGCTAAACTACATACGTCTATACATAGATACACAGATTTACGTATGCGTAAAGTGTTCAATGTGTCTTTTACACAGCGTCATTTATGTGCATTTACAAAGGGAGAAATGTAATTCTGATTAGCTTCCACATATACTTTATACACATACATATTCATATATACATACATATACATATATACATACATATACATACGTACACGTATACATACATATACATACGTATACATACATATACATACGTATACACAGACGCGTTCCTTGGTTACATACTTGGGTAAACCAGGGTAGTCAGCCAGACGCCGTCGGAGCGTGTCTACCCCTGGTTATTGGTCTCCAGTATTGATCGCGCAACTCAACCGTCCACGTGTTCCCTGTAGTGTGAATTATATCAGTGTGTGTGTGTACTCGCCTAGTTGTGCTTGCGGCGGTTGAGCTCTGGATCCTTGTGCCCGCCTCTCAACTGTCAATCAACTGATGTACAGGTTCCTGAGCCTATTGGGCTCTATCATATCTACCTTACCTTGAGGCTACCTTGAGGTGCTTCCGGGGTTTAGCGTCCCCGCGGCTCGGTCATCGACCAGGCCTCCTGGTTGCTGGACTGATCAACCAGGCTGTTGGACGCGGCTGCTCGCAGCCTGATGTACGAATCACAGCCTGGTTGATCAGGTATCCTTTGGAGGTGCTTATCTAGGCCTCTTTTGAACACTGTGAGGGGTCGGCCAGTTACGCCCCTTATGTGTAGTGGAAGCGTGTTGAACAGTCTCGGGCCTCTGATGTTGATAGTTCTCTCTCAGAGTACCTGTTGCACCTCTGCTTTTCAACGGGGGTATTCTGCACATCCTGCCATGCCTTCTGGTCTCACGTGATGTTATTTCTGTGTGCAGGTTTGGGACCAGCCCCTCTACCCCCTTTCACCCAGGAGTCGATGGACATATAACCTGGCCACAACTATACTGAATATTACCACTGACGACTGCCTCGTTGAGTGTTTAAGGTGTTCCCGTGGTCTCATCTACGGTCCAACAATACAATTAACCTTAGCTATAAACACATTTACTTACACAGAAAATACTGACCTGTGCGACAAGGAACGTGAGAGTGATGACCCCACTTACACCCAGAAGACCATACCTGGTTGACTTGCTTGACGGGGTTCTGGGAGTTCTTCTACTCCCCAAGCCCGGCCCGAGGCCAGGCTTGACTTGTGAGAGTTTGGTCCAACAGGCTGTTGCTTGGAGCGGCCCGCAGGCCCACATACCCACCACAGCCCGGTTCGTCAGGCACTCCTTGAAGAAAACAGTCTAGTTTTCTCTTGAAGATGTCTACGGTTGTTCCGGCAATATTTCTGATAGTCGCTGGGAGGACGTTGAACAACCGCGGACCTCTGATGTTTATACAGTGTTCTCTGATTGTGCCTATGGCACCTCTGCTCTTCACTGGTTCTATTCTGCATTTTCTTCCATATCGTTCACTCCAGTATGTTAATATTTTACTGTGTAGATTTGGGACCTGTCCCTCCAGTATTTTTCATGTGTATATTATTTGGTATCTCTCTCGTCTCCTTTCTACAGAGCACATTTGGAGAGCTTTGAGACGATCCCAATAATTTAGGTGCTTTATCTAATCTATACGTGCCGTATATGTTCTCTGTATTCCCTCTATTTCAGCAACCTCTCCTGCTCTGAAGGGGGAAGTGAGTACTGAGCAATACTTAAGACGGGACAACACAAGTTATTTGAAGAGTACAACCATTGTGATGGGATCTCTGGATTTGAGAGTTCTCGGAATCCATCCTATCTTTTTTCTGGCTGCCGCAATATTTGCTTGGTTATGCTCTCTAAACGTTAGGCCGTCGGACATCATTTTTCCCAAACCCTTGACATGCTGTTTTCCTACTATGGGCAGATTCGATTGTGTTTTGTACCCTGTATTATGTTTCAAATCCTCATTTTTGCCGTACCTGAGTACCTGGAATTTATCACTATTAAACATCATGTTATTTTCTGCTGCCCAGTCGAAAGCTTTGTTAATATCTGCTTATAGCTTTTCAGTGTCTTCAGCAGAGGTAATTTTCATGCTGATATTTATGTCATCTGCAAAGGATGATACGAAGCTTTGCCTTGTATTTGAGGCTATATCTGATATGAGAATAAGGAACAGCAGTGGTGCAAGGACTTGCAACACTGACCAAACTATGAGATAACACAAGGTGCCTGAAGTCATGGAGTCAACTGCCATGATAGTCACAATCAACCCCTCAACCCCTCCCCCCCTCCTCCGTGGCCGACCCCCCTCAAAGTGTTCAAGAGAGAACCGGATAAGCACCTCCAATGGATACCTGATCATCCAGGTTGTGATTCGTACATCAGGCTGCGAGCAGCCGCATCCAACAGCCTGGTTGACCAGTCCAGCAACGAGGAGGCCTGGTCGACGACCGGGCCGCGGGGGAAGCTAAGCCCCGAAAACACCTCAAGGTAACCTCAAGGTAACCACGAAGACATCCTCCTTCCCTCCCCACCTGCCCCACCCGGATCTTACCTGGAGAAGGTCTTTAGAGTTCTACTCCCCGGACCAGGCCTGAGCCAAGGCTAAACCTGTGATCACGTGGTCCAACAGGCTGTTGCTTGCAGTTGCCCGTAGGCCCACATATCCACTACAGCCCGGTTGGTCCGGCACTTCTTGCAAGAGCTTATCTAATTGGTTCTTGAAGAAGTTAAGGAGTATGAATGCCTCACATGCACCCATCACAGACTTTGAACATTATTTTGTGGTAACATTTTCCTACTACACAATGGCGCCAGTTGACTAAGGGCACCAGCACCCAGCACTACGCCTAGGGCCAGCTGACTAAGGGCACCAGCACCCAGCACTACGCCTGAGGCCAGCTGACTAAGGGCACCAGCACCCAGCACTACGCCTGGGGCCAGCTGACTAAGGGCACCAGCACCCAGCACTACGCCTGAGGCCAGCTGACTAAGGGCACCAGCACCCAGCACTACGCCTGAGGCCAGCTGGTTGATACCTGGTTGATACCTGGTTGATGGGGTTCGGGGAGTTCTTCTACTCCCCAAGCCCGGCCCGAGGCCAGGCTCGACTTGTGAGAGTTTGGTCCACCAGGCTGTTGCTTGGAGCGGCCCGCAGGGCCACGTACCCACCACAGCCCGGCTGATCCGGAACTTCTCTTAGAAAACCGTCCAGTTTTCTCTTGAAGATGTCCACGGTTGTTCCGGCAATATTTCTTATGACTAAGAGCGCCAGCACCCAGCACTACGCCTGAGGCCAGCTGACTAAGGGCACCAGCACCCAGCACTACGCCTGGGGCCAGCTGACTAAGGGCACCAGCACCCAGCACTACGCCTGAGGCCAGCTGACTAAGGGCACCAGCACCCAGCACTACGCCTGAGGCCAGCTGACTAAGGGCGCCAGCACCCAGCACTACGCCTGAGGCCAGCTGACTAAGGGCACCAGCACCCAGCACTACGCCTGAGGCCAGCTGACTAAGGGCACCAGTACCCAACACTACGCCTGAGGCCAGCTGACTAAGGGCACCAGCACCCAACACTACGCCTGAGGCCAGCTGACTAAGGGCACCAGCACCCAGCACTACGCCTGAGGCCAGCTGACTAAGGGCACCAGCACCCAGCACTACGCCTGGGGCCAGCTGACTAAGGGCACCAGCACCCAGCACTACGCCTGAGGCCAGCTGACTAAGGGCACCAGCACCCAGCACTACGCCTGGGGCCAGCTGACTAAGGGCACCAGCACCCAGCACTACGCCTGGGGCCAGCTGACTAAGGGCACCAGCACCCAGCACTACGCCTGGGGCCAGCTGACTAAGGGCACCAGCACCCAGCACTACGCCTGAGGCCAGCTGACTAGGGGCACCAGCACCCAGCACTACGCCTGGGGCCAGCTGACTAAGGGCACCAGCACCCAGCACTACGCCTGAGGCCAGCTGACTAAGAGCATAAGCAGCCAGCACTACACCTGGGGCCAGCTGACTAAGGGCACCAGCACCCAGCACCACGCCTGAGGCCAGCTGACTAAGGCCACCAGCACCCAGCACCACGCCTGGGGCCAGCTGACTAAAGCCACCAGCACTACACCTGAGGCCAGCTGACTAAGGGCACCAGCACCCAGCACTACGCCTGAGGCCAGCTGACTAAGGGCACCAGCACCCAGCACCACGCCTGAGGCCAGCTGACTAAGGGCACCAGCACCCAGCACTACGCCTGAGGCCAGCTGACTAAGGGCACCAGCACCCAGCACTACACCTGAGGCCAGCTGACTAAGGGCACCAGCACCCAGCACTACGCCTGAGGCCAGCTGACTAAGGGCACCAGCACCCAGCACTACGCCTGGGGCCAGCTGACTAAGGGCACCAGCACTACGCCTGAGGCCAGCTGACTAAGGGCACCAGCACCCAGCACTACGCCTGAGGCCAGCTGACTAAGGGCGCCAGCACCCAGCACTACGCCTGGGGCCAGCTGACTAAGGGCACCAGCACCCAGCACTACGCCTGGGGCCAGATGACTAAGGGCACCAGCACCCAGCACTATGCCTGGGGCCAGCTGACTAAGGGCACCAGCACCCAGCACTACGCCTGAGGCCAGCTGACTAAGGGCACCAGCACCCAGCACCACGCCTGAGGCCAGCTGACTAAGGGCACCAGCACCCAGCACTACGCCTGGGGCCAGCTGACTAAGGGCACCAGCACCCAGCACTACACCTGGGGCCAGCTGACTAAGGGCAGCAGCACCCAGCACTACGCCTGGGGCCAGCTGACTAAGGGCACCAGCACCCAGCACCACGCCTGAGGCCAGCTGACTAAGGGCACCAGCACCCAGCACTACGCCTGGGGCCAGCTGACTAAGGGCACCAGCACCCAGCACTACGCCTGAGGCCAGCTGACTAAGGGCACCAGCACCCAGCACCACGCCTGAGGCCAGCTGACTAAGGGCACCAGCACCCAGCACTACACCTGGGGCCAGCTGACTAAGGGCACCAGCACCCAGCACTACGCCTGAGGCCAGCTGACTAAGGGCACCAGCACCCAGCACCACGCCTGAGGCCAGCTGACTAAGGGCACCAGCACCCAGCACTACGCCTGGGGCCAGATGACTAAGGGCACCAGCACCCAGCACTACACCTGGGGCCAGCTGACTAAGGGCAGCAGCACCCAGCACTACGCCTGGGGCCAGCTGACTAAGGGCAGCAGCACCCAGCACTACGCCTGAGGCCAGCTGACTAAGGGCATCAGCACCACGCCTGGGGCCAGTTGACTAAGGGCACCAGCACCCAGCACTACGCCTGAGGCCAACTGACTAAGGGCACCCAGCACTACGCCTGAGGCCAGCTGACTAAGGGCACCAGCACCCAGCACTACGCCTGGGGCCAGATGACTAAGGGCACCAGCACCCAGCACTACGCCTGAGGCCAGCTGACTAAGGGCACCAGCACCCAGCACTACGCCTGGGGCCAGCTGACTAAGGGCATCAGCACCACGCCTGGGGCCAGCTGACTACGGGCACCAGCACCACGCCTGGGGCCAGCTGACTAAGGGCACCAGCACCACGCCTGGGGCCAGGTAACTAAGGGCACCAGCACCCAGCACTACGCCTGAGGCCAGCTGACTAAGGGCACCAGCACCCAGCACTACACCTGGGGCCAGCTGACTAAGGGCACCAGCACCCAGCACTGCACCTGAGGCCAGCTGACTAAGGGCACCAGCACCATGCCTGGGGCCAGCTGACTAAGGGCACCAGCACCATGCCTGGGGCCAGCTGACTAAGGGCAGCAGCACCCAGCACCACGCCTGAGGCCAGCTGACTAAGGCCACCAGCACCCAGCACTACGCCTGGGGCCAGCTGACTAAGGCCACCAGCACCCAGCACTACGCCTGAGGCCAGCTGACTAAGGCCACCAGCACCCAGCACTACGCCTGAGGCCAGCTGACTAAGGGCACCAGCACCCAGCACTACGCCTGGGGCCAGCTGACTAAGGGCACCAGCACCCAGAACTACACCTGAGGCCAGCTGACTAAGGGCACCAGCACCCAGCACTACGCCTGGGCCCAGCTGACTAAGGGCACCAGCACCCAGCACTACGCCTGGGGCCAGCTGACTAAGGCCACCAGCAC